GAGAGTAGGTAACGGTTTGTGGTCTGTGAAAATAATGAAGCCACAACCCCCCACCGAATGTCGAAAGTGACGTATAGAACAGTGCGCAGCTAGGGTTCCCTACCAAATATACTGTATCTTGTCTCCGCGTCTTGCAGCCGCCTCGAGAAAAAAACTAACGTTTGCCACTGATTGTCAGTCAACCGTTGCAAAACTGCTCCAATGGCTGAGTCAGGTGCATCAACAGCAGTACTCAAAGGAGCATTGGGTCGTGATGCATGAGCATGGTTGCTTTTGAAATGGCTTCCTTGACCTTAGGGAAAGTAAGTCTAGCCACGTCGTCCAGAGTCACGAACTTCGTGGTCCCTCGAAGTAGATCTGTGAGTGGTCTCATGGCAGAGGCACAGTTGGGGATAAACCTTCGGTAACAACTTACCAGGCCTTTGAAAGTGCGGAGATGTTTCAGTGGTCAGCTCTGCATAGTTTGTGATGGCCGCCACTTTATCTCTCAATGGACGTATATACCTTCGTTGCCAGTGGCATGCCCAAGGAAGCTGGGTGATTTGATTCCCACCTCACATTCTGTAAGTTGACTGTGATGCCATGTTTTTAAGTCTTTCGAATACGAGGCCCAAACATTTAAGACTGTGTTTCCTCATCTGGACCCGCGATGAGACAGTCATCGATGTAGACGTGAATAAAATTCAAACCACGGAAGACATCATCCACAAGGCGTTGGAGTGTTTGTGCTGCATTCCGAAGACCAAATGGTATGCACGGGAATTCAAACAAACCGAAAAGAGTAATGATGACTGTCTTCACGATATCCCCTGCTGCCTTAAGTATCTGATTGTGCACCTTGGCCAGACCGATTTTGGAGAAAATGTTCATTGTGCATAACGTCGAAGTCAGGTTGTAAACGTGAGGTATCGGGTAGCAGTCCGGTGTTGTTTTGGCACTAGCCTTCGGTAATCATCGGTTGGACGCCAGTCGTTGCTATCCTTTTTGGGAACCATGTGCAATGGCAATGTCCAAGGACTGTTTGATGGTTTGATAATGCCCAGTTCCAGCATGTGGTTGAATTCACTCCTTGCAGTTTTTAGCTTGTCAGGAGCTAGGCACCGGGCTTCGGATGCCACAGGTCGACCTGTGGTTGTGACATGATGCATAGCGTTGCTGGTTATGCACGGAAGAGTATGCTTCGGTTGTTGTGGCTCTGGATAGTTCTCCAAAACTGTTTGGTAGGACGCGTCGCCTGATCATTTAGGTCTAACGATGGCCAAACTCGGACCTATGTAGGTGGTGCCGCCAACGGATAACTTTGTGTTGTTATCTATCAGACGTTGACGGGGGCATCTGTGGGTAGATCGTGATGGTCCAGCAAGTCTACGCCAATGACGGGCATAGAAACGTCAGCCGGGAGGAAAATCCAGCGAATGGGTTTGCGCAAACCTGAGTTTGAGGTAGGCATACCGTTCCCCGAATGTCACGATTGCCTTGTCGTTGGCTGCTCGGAGATCGAAGGATGGGTCATGATGACGCTCCTTTATCGTTGCTGGAAGAACGCTAACTTCTGCGCCAGTGTCGACGAGGTAGCAAACTTTCGTTTTAATGTCGGTGACGTACAGCAAATGGCTGCTCCTGCCGGCTACGGTTGCCGTGAACACGTGCCGGCATGACCGTTTCCCGAGTTTGTGTCCCTCTTGAAACTGCATGGATCCCGACATTTTCTGGCTTCGTCTCCGTAAGTATTGTGAAACCGCACCATTTGGGGTTTTCCACCCTGTTAGGTTTAGTTTTAGGACAATCACACGAGTCGCTGCGATGCGTTTCTGTGAGTGCTACGTGAACTAGTACTTCGAGATCACAGCAACTGTTTAACAGATTTGCACAGCTTGGTCACCTCTGAATCCTGGCTCTCTGCCTTATTATAGATAGGATATACGTTGGAGATCTTCAGTATTTTATCTACTGAGGCTTCCAGATCATCGAGTGGGATTGACTGAAGTGTCACCAACATGGTTTGCAACGGTTGTGATAGTTTCGAAAGAAATAGGTCCCGGAAAAGGCCATCGTCGAATGTTTGCGCACCCATAACTTCTCACATTCGTGCGAGGGCTTCAGTAGCTGAATGGCTGCCTAGTCCGATGTTACGAAGTAATTCGCGTAGACGCTGGCGGTCTGTGAGATCACTTTTCGTCAGGAGCGCAGCTTCGAGAGGTGCATATGGATCACTTACTCCAGGACCAACATACCTGCTTATTTTGCTCGGTAGTGAGCGTATGACAGCAGGAAATCTGGAATGGGGACCTGTAACTCCTAGTTCTCGGAAATCCGCCTTGGCATATAGAAACCATGTTTCAGCATTGTCTGGCCAATATGGCACCAGTTGGATGGTATTCGGAGTTGGCTTAATACGGATAAGCTTGGGAGTATGGTCGGACGTGAGAAAGGGTTGTATATGGATAGATAAGCGTTATCGAAGTGGAAACAACATACAGATATAAAATGGAACAGGCTCACCAATTCAAAATTTCTTATTGGTAGGGATTTGTTATCACTTTGGTGCTCACCAATTTAGGACTTGTCCTGGTGCGAACTTGACAGACGCAAAGGCCAATCACTAATCATTCGAACTTTTATGTACCCACGAATACGAGACCAAGGAGGAACACAATAGTGTAGTCGGATGGAATAGTATATTTGGATGGTTGTGTCAAGATAACGATGCGTTCCTACTAACTGGCTAGAGAGCCGATTACGAGCAGTGCAACGTGACACGACAGCGTGCCAAATGGCTAGGATGCTTGACCGGGTGCCTTCAGCTTAGCGAGTCCAGTTAAACCATCAAGGTCAGCATCAATGTTGAATGTCGTCGAACCCTAGGCGATTGATTTTTGGGGAGTATGTGACGCTGCACAGCGTTATGCGGACCAGCTTCAAAGGAGTATGCTTTTTTGAAGTTTGAGAGTTTGCATTTATTGATTACGGATGGCATCAATCATGAAGCCACACCAATTGGAGGAACATTCGAGCCTGAGAGCACCAATCAGCTGTTTCGTCCTGGTGTGGGACTCCCCAGCAGTTCTCACTCGTGAATTAACAAAGGGTTGATCCCCGGTTGCGTAGAGGTACCATCATACGCGGGGGGAAAAGTTCGTGCATATCTTCCTGCCGCTGGTCTACTCCCACCACACTAACACCGTGCATACACCACTGACTCTATCTATCCTTGGTGTGCACCGCATAACAGGCAAGACTTACCACCACGAAACCTCCACGTACACCCCATTCTAGCCTGATTTATTGCACAAGACGGTCCACACTGCTGAGCGACTTGAAGATCTCAAACCTCAAGCTTTTGTTAGAACTCACCAAAAGATAAGCATTTGCTCTATAAATGCTTCCACAGTAGGCATAGCTGCAACACTAGTGCAAAATGTCCAGCCCTCTGGGCAGCGAGACATCTCAACAAGTACCTAATCAGTGGGGGCTTAAACTGCCACCAATCGTTGAACTTAAAAATTTATTTACCATCTAGACGAATCCTTCGATTCAGAGTAATTAGGAATATACAGCTGAACGTTAGTGGGTCAAAGGCATACTCCATGTGGACTCCCTATCACGTTACTCATAGTTTGAGATTCCCCCTAATGATACTGGCTGCTTATTACTTTAGTTGTTAGAAGGTTAATGCAAGCGAAGATTCCTTGAGTCCTATAAATAAGGAGATGAAGTATCATTACACCCCGAAGCACTTTTATATTTGCACGACGTTTGTTATTTCTCCGACATTGAAGTCCGTCCTATCACACGGTCTTCGCTCCACACACTTAAGAGCCGAGAAAATGAAATCATAGACACGCCGAACATGATGGTGATCGGAAATTGATGCTGATATTATAAGGTCAAAGAAATGTTCTGATTGTCTTCTTAAAGTATCGTGTGAAAGATCACAGTTGAATCCACAGTCTGCGTCTAGTGAGACATGGCAGCGTATCCGTACAGATTATTGTGGCCCCTTCTTAAACTCAAGTAATGTTTTAGTTATGATGGGCTCTTATTCCAAATGGTCAGAATTAATACTTACAGACACCTTCATTGCAAAGGTCTTAAGCAGAGACGAAGATCTCCAGTTGTGAGGGAATACATAATATCTTGGTCGCAGACTCATTTCCATGAGGACGGCAATGAGTGGGTTGGATATTTAGTTACCGTCTTCTGTATACATCACCATGTCATCCTCAGTCATATGGGTTGGTAGAAAACTTCGTGAAGACATGAAGAGAGCTACAGAATCGATGACTGTTTGTTTCGTGAGAAAGTCCAATTCGCGAGGATTCTAGAAATGATAACTAAAATACAATGATCTATTACTGTCAACATTAGAATATATCCGTTGAACCTGTCTGTAGTTACTTCAATTGGTGGTTTGTAGAACTTAAGTTTAAAGTAATATTTATCAAGGACCGATATCAACTGAAAAGCCTGAAAGCACTGGACAGCTGATTCTTCCAAGAATGGGATTCAACGGTGCGCACCCACGACGCCACGAAAGAGGAAACCGAAGATCGTCGGGTCTTGTGGTTAGCACTTTATCATTTAGCCACTGGCCAAGTATCCATTGATCTACGTTTCCGTGCATCTATCAGTTGGTGAAATCGCATGACCATACTTCTAATACCATCGGCGAGTATTTGTCTGAACAACCAACTTGGCTGACTTCTTAGGTCACGGTTTCTCCAACAGCACTTCAGGGAATCAGTCTCGAAGTATGTTACTAATGAGCACTAGACAGTAATTCAACCGGTGGTTTATTGGGATTGAATAGCTTGTAGGTATTCATAGTGGACTGAAATCGCGAGCTGATAAAATAGCAAAATCTAAGCCAATGGATTATAATACTTCCAAAATCCGACTAGCTGAAATGATAGCATCCAATAGGAAGAAAAAAAGTTACGAAATATGATAAATAAATTGATATTTTATGTACACGCATATTTACAAAACTAGTAAGGTAATCACGAGTCACCCAGAATGTTTTCCCTGAGTTCAAAAAGATCAATTTTTGGGCGATAATAAGACTTAGGAGGTTTGGGAACTTTCTTTTCCGAAGCTTTTGAAGAACTGTCTTCGGGTGTTGGGAGCTGAGAAGAGTCCAAGTCACTTCTTATGCTTTCTTGTTCAGATGCAGCCAATTCAGCTTCTTTTACCGAGATCATCTTCTGTAAAGTTGGAACATTGCACGTAGAACGCCTAAGACTATATCGATGAGTGACTATTCGCTGACGTGGTTGATCAATTTGATTATGTTGAACTGAATCAGATTCACGGTCAGAAACGTCTGAATTTACATTCTGTGATAAAACAAAGTCGATTGTATCTGACAGATGATCTCCAAAATGCGGATTTGGGGGAGTGTACTCTTTTTACGCCTAGACTTAGGTCTACTTGGTTTATCAGTATCCTGTTCGTATGATTGTTCACTGCACGAAACTGAATCCTGATCACATTTACCTGTACCATTGAGAAAGTTGATTATTTGAAATGAAAATCAAAAAAGATAAGTAAGCCATTAATATGACAATGGTTTTTACACAGCTAAAACTTCTGCTGAAAATATCTGATACGGATCATTAGATCGGTTATGATGCACAAACTCAGCTGAAAAGTTTCGTCATGAAGCTTTCATTGACTTTCTATAAACATCAACAACAACTTCAATATAAAGTAAGCTTTCAAGATTTCTCTATGAGTAATTGATTCAGTAGTCTATGTCATATCGGGCAGAAAAATGACTGATCAGGAAATCCGTCGGCCAAATGACACAAGAACCAAAGAAAACTGCAATTCAAACGCCAATTTACCAGCTTAGACTACTGATGATGCTGTGCAGAAACACAATGAAAGCTTCATGAATAAGCCATCTAGCTCATAGAAGACAATACAGATATTTTTAATCAGTTCATAACTGTATGAGGAAAACTAAAACGGAGTATAGCCACCTAAAGTGGTTTTCGTTTAGTTTTGATGAAAATAGAAAAGATCTTAAATTTTTATTGATTATATACTCATATATTGAGATAATCGTTCCCTTCTCAAATATAATAATATTCAATTCCATTGATTATTGAAAGGGATAATTTCTGTAATAGCCTATGAAGAATACAGAAATTCGATCAATATCATCTGATATTACTGTAAGAACGTTTCAGAGGAATAAATCGTAAAAATAAGTAGTATTCTTAAAGAGAAACGATGTTGCACAGAGAAAAGCTTTGTATGGGGAGTAGTGGGAAGCTAATTCGTCAAAATTTTAGATTCCGTAGCAGTTCGCTGTTCAATAGTGTGCTTAATTTTCAGAAATTCTTGAACTGACTACAGACAGACAAATCAATATACAACCTGAAATTACTGAGTAACGATCCAAGTTGAAACACCTCATAACACCAAATCAAGTAGGAATTCACTACGATGAAAGATAAAGAAATAGAAAAGAAAGTAGTCAAAAGTGTTGGGAAACCATTAAAAGAGAGAAAAAAAGGATAAAATACTGAAATCCAGTTTAGCAATTAAGATGAAGATATTATGTGTATACATTTCTAGCCTAAACGGAATTCAGCTAATATTGTGCGACGAGGTAGATGGTGACTAGGCATATGTAACACATATCCCAGTCACCTCAGTCGATGAAGATTCACAACCTCATCGATTAACTTTCCTTTCTTCTCTAAAACGCCACGCCTAACTTCTACGTTACTGACGTGATGACACCACGAAGAATACACAAGGCAACAGTGGTCAAACACCTAAATTCTTCTCATGTTCTCTGCTTTTGATAAACATATTTCACAGTCAGATAGTAGAGTAGAGTGAACTGCAGCGCAGTACACTCAACCTTTAATAAACAATTAGATATTACACTGGCTACATAAATGACATAACTTGGTGAAAACCCGTTGAGCCATTTGTGTTTGTGTAGAGATTTTATCAGTCACTGTTCCATCAGGGATGATCAGACTTTCCAAATAAGTGAAGTAGTCAATGCGCTCAACTACTTCACTCCCCATTGTTAGGCAGGGCACTATTAAAAACCACTCCTCAAGCAACATTTTGCATCTGGGTGGCAAGAAACACATCCTAAATATCCTCAAATGATAATTCGAGGTGTTCAAAAGACTATACACTTCGTTAGCAAATTTGTGCAGCATACTTCGGATTTACTAAGAAGTCTTCTATGACTGTCAATCCCCATAAAGTCAGACGATGAGAATGAGATCTATATAAGTAAATCTATGATAAATTTGAGGAAGAATAGAGACAATGGAGATTCTCGATGGATACCACTTGACGTACACAATCCACCTTATGACAAACTATAGGCTCTAAAACGCTCACGACGTTTCAAGTTTAGAGGATGTAATTGTCTAACATCCTTTCAGTGAGAGACACTCCAACAAGATCCTTCGGTACAAAGAGTCGAATGCCACCTTCAAGTCAAGAAATGAAGCTAGTGTCCAACATCGTTAAGTGTGCCTGTGTTCCACAACCCGGCGGAGGGTGAGTGTTAAGTCGACTCACTGGTCCAGGGCTCCACCTACTCGTCTCATGAATGTAGAGCCCTAGACATTATTTTCATACGACTGATTCCCCTGTGGTTAGTACAAGATTTCTCTTGTTTCTTGAAAGCTGAGACAATCAGTGATTGAGACTATTTATAAGGGATCATATCTGACTCCCATACGCTAGCTAACAACAAATCAGTTGATCTGACTGGTAATCCACTACCATCATTCTTAAATACCTCCAGTAGTAGTCCATCTGACCCTGCTTCTCTTCCTCGTTTCACACTACTTACAGCTTTCTCAACTTCTGCAAGTGTTGAAGACCCTATCTTAATGATGGATTCAGGATCCGACTGGGATATTTGACCATAAACTAAACTAAATTTAAATTTATTGAGTTGCCGGAAAGCTCTTATTTGAATTATTGTATGATAATACACATGTCGATTTGCATACCCGGAACAATATGATACATTGTTGCATGAGCCAAGTCTGTAAACGTTCCAAAGTTCTGACTACTTATTCTAATGGATAGTAGACATTTTTACAAAGCATATCACATTCTGCATAAATAAAGCATTACGATAACGATTTCTAATGAGGATTATATGAGAATATCATACAATACTTTGAGTTCCTTACAGCACAGTAATAATATGGAAGTGATATTCACGTATCATTTGAGCTTGTTTCATTACTTGCATAAAGTTGAACTTTCCTCGGTTTATTGACTAGTGGTCTTAATAATTTTATAAAATTTTAATATGCTCTATGTGAAATTCACTTTGACAATATTTTAGAAAACTAAACAAACTGATGACATTACAATGATGATTATGATTGTGGTTCAAGTCATGTACTTTGAATTGGCAGTTTAGCAAATAACAAAAGATAGAAACTGGTTAGTGAAAGAGAAATGTGAACACACTTATGGACAATAAGCTTCTTAAAAAACAATCGACCAAAAATTGCACGACAGAATTTGTCAACAATGAAAGGCATGAATCACATTAGGCTAGTTTAAAATTCTTTCAAAAATATGGAAACAATTATATTGTTTCAAGTTGTTATTCATCGTAGACTGACATCAATTGGAGGAGCATTAGAAACCTGGGAGCACTGGACAGCTGTTTCGTCCTAGTACGGGACTCAGCAGTGTGCACGCACGACCCCGCCAGGGATGGAACCCGCAACCTTCAGGTTCCGTGGCCAGCACGTTACCATTGAGCCACTGGGTCAGAATCCAATGGTTCATATTTCCATGTTTCCTTTGTTCCTCCAACTGATGTCAGTCTACGATGAATAACAACTTGAAATACTTGCAAGTCCCCATAACTGCCTCAAAATTCAATTGAACTGGTGTTCATTGGTGACTAGCTTCGAGAGGTATTCTCGAAGTTCCAGTGAGAAGTCGTGACCGGTGGGGGCAAAGCCTGATGGTTGTGAGGACAGTTACTCAAAGATGACATTGGGTGGCGGTTGCGCTATATTGTGAGCTAACAGAAGTTGGAAATATGGATCATTGGGTTCTGACCCACTGGCTCAATGGTAACGCTCTGGCCACGGAACCTGAAGGTCGCGGGTTCCATCCCTGACGGGGTCGTGCTAGCGCACTGCTGAGGAGTCCTACACTAGGACGAACCAGCTACCCAGTGCTCCCAGGTTTCTTTTGTTCCTCCAACTGATGTCAGTCTACGATGAATAACAACTTGAAATATTTCCAAATCCCCACAACTCCCTCAAAATTCAATTATATTGTTTTCACTCTGTTTGTTAATTATTCCTTGGCCACAGTAACACGATTGTTAAGGTCACATTTTAAATGGGATATTTCATCTAACTTCAAATAATCTTGCCTGGTTCAACTGGAATGCAGTGATAAGAAAAAGAAAACTTGAGTCAACACAGTACTCTGAACAAGTCACTGGTTCAAATCCCAATGCAGTGTAAGTTTCTTCTGATATCGGTCACCACACTTGTAACATTGAACACCACTTTATGAAGAAAATGTCACTACTAGAACAGCTACTTGGAGATGACGAATGTATACCTTTAAAGTCTCATTAAGGTAGAACAATTTATTTCTGACGCTTTGCGACTTCATGGAAGTCGTTTCTTTAAGTGATAAAACATGCACAAGTTATCGCATGTTTAAATAGTAAACGAAAACACATCAGGTCACTTTATTCATATATGCAGATACATTTTATAACAAACATACTTCCGTTATCCACAATTTACCCGATGCTCAACTTATTCAAATTTTGATCCTGAAGTCTATAAGGGCTGCGCACAGGTAAATAAATAGTAGTGAGAAGCTATGCAAGTTTAGCTTCTTAAGATTTTAGTCTAGATGAATACAGTTAGGGACTTTCTAACCCGACCGATAGCTGCTACCTTGACGTGGTGGTCGGGCTTGCATATCACAATGACCCAACGAGCTATGCTGGTGGAACGCTTGTTCCCTCGAGGTCCTACCATACCAGAAAGGTCTGTTGGGTAGTGGTTAGACGAAAAGCAGTTACCGTCATAGTGTAAATTGCTACACTATGATGGGGGTCTGAGGGCGAAGTCGTACTGCTGCTAGCTGGATGGGGTGTGACAGCAGTAAGGTGTTTCCCTTGGATGACCAGCAGTGCCAAGCTGATGCTGCCTTCTCAGTGGAAGGGGGGGTTAGAAAAGGTCGGCCCCAAAAATAACACACTCCACCACGCCCCACGGTCTGCCGGGCCGGCGGTGTTGGTTCACTTGTCGTTTCCTTTCGCTCATCCGGCCCCAAAAATACAAAAATTCAAAATAATCATACTCAAAAGGCTGGGTGTGACAGGCCTCAAGCAGATGTCCGATGGGCTCTGCGGTCACACAAATCTCTTTCAGGTACCTTAAGAAGAAATAGCCTTCCACGGTGTGGGCAGCCGGGAAGTGTCAACCGCCCTCACAACTCTGTCAGCACCCAAGTTTCTTCTGACTGCTATCCTCCTCCTCCATCATTACCTTCTAATCTTCCTTCACGTCTCTTAATTAATGATGCTGCATCATCTTCAATTTCTCCTACCTCTGCAGCCTTCGACAACGATCTGAGTCCACAGAACAGCGTCCCTGGTCTCCTTAAACCACGCTCCAAATTACATATTGGAGCCTTCAATGTCCGCACCCTCCGTCAAATTGGCCAACAGGCTTCGTTGGCAAAGACTCTAGCAACTCGGGGTATGGATGTGTGCTGTGTTTGTGAGACACGCATACAGGACCCAAGTGTGGTTATTCACCTGACCTCTCCTGACCAATCTGGTGAATCTGCAAAATTCACCCTTCGAGTTTCTGGAGATTCGATAACTAGCTCTCGTGGTCTGGCTCAGAACCGAAGTCAGTGGCGCAGATGTATACACACATTATCCTCATCTTAACGAGGCTATACCGAATCTCACTATTTTGTCACTCCTCTTTCCTTTCTTCTCATACTTTATATTTCTTTTGACTGCATTCACTTATCTTCATCCTTCACCTCACTACCTTTTTACTTGATGTGCTGATATGAGGTGTGGCAACTCGGACCGTTACGCAGTAATGCCTGGTCCTATGTTGATAATGATGATGATGATGAGGGACTTTCTAAAAATCCAGACGTTTCTGAATGACAATACTTTTCACAAATAACGTGTTTAAGAGAACAAAAGTGAAGCGCGGCACTTTCCTATAAGTTTAAGAGGAACAGACAACTTAAGAAAGTTTGAGAGAAACTTTAACTTCACGAGTATATCAACAAAAACCGTACGCAGTTTATTCAGAAATACGGATACTTTCATCTTCAAATAAAATATAATCCACAAAGAATATGAAACTTAGGGCATATGATGATCTAGCAGGACATAAATATTGTTTTAAAGTTCGGATTATCTTATAACAGTCATACAGATATTATCAACATAGGAGGGAATTAATTACTAGGTAACGGGACAAGTTTCACACCCCACATCAGCAAACTGAAGAAAAATTATCAAGAAAGAAGTCCAAGAAATGAAAACAATCTAATCAAAAATCATCTGAAGTTACTATTACTACCAACACATCAGTTGATCTGACTGGTAATCCACTACCATCATTCTTAAATACCTCCAGTAGTAGTCCATCTGACCCTGCTTCCCTTCCTCGTATATATATATATATATATATATATATATATATATATATATATATATATATATATATATATATATATATATAACAAAACAAAAAGAGGGACCTACTTCTCTTGCTTTTCTTTGTAGATATATTCTTTCCAACTTCATCCTCATCGCTTGAAGGTAGCAGGTTAATGAGATCATAAGACCGACGATTCCCTAAATAGGTGAAATTATTTGTTTATTTCTAAAGAATACTCAACTTACGTAATGCTTGATTGACTAGATATGGATTACGTTTCTCTTCTCTTTTGAATTTACTCTTATGAAATAAATGCAAAGGATAAAAACAAGTGACTTATCAAAAGAAATGAATGTTAGGTCAAATTTTGAGATATAATGATTATGATAACATATTTCTTGAGCATTCAGAAAGTCAACTACACTTTATCATACCGCTACTGAATCCTAAAAGATCAGCGAATGGATCAAAAAATTTCGAGACCATCAGTTTATAGATAACTAAACAACCTGAAGGTCAAAAGAGAAGCATATGTCTACGGAATTCTATATCAACGAACTAATGATGATGACTATCACTCGCAATATTGTCTACATAACCACCTGTTCTCGATCAACACAAACTTTTAACATCAAGGAGGAAAATATCTAAATAGGTGACCACCAACATCAAGTCAATGATGGGTCTAGATAGATTGCAACACTATAATCTATAATCAGAGAAGACTGGAATAAGATTGAGTTTCTTCATAAAATGCAAAATGAATATCTGAACATGTGTTCATATATATAATATGACAGTAAAGCCTTGAAAGAAATGAGTTGAAAACAATACAGTTTGCTGGTAAATTTTGTTCAAAAAAGTAAAAAGCAGGACTTTTAGCAAAAACTTACGGTGGTCACGCTAAATGGTATCAAATTTAAGTCAGACACAGTTTGTATCAAGGTATGCTGCGGTTGAAATACACATCATATTTATAAGGAACGCAACTTAGTTCAAGTCTATGAGGATTCCTATAAACCTGCTGCTCTGAGAGCTTGTAGGAAGTTACAGACAATCAGAACTAAGGAAGAACCTCGCATATACATGCAACGGCTTAATTTGCCACACTTCACAGTAGTACACAAAGAGCAGATGGATACAAAAACAGGTATATCAAAGGAGATAAAATAGCGTGAAAGAATAACAATCTGAAGATAAAGGTCAGTGTGATTATTCAAACTTTATAAGACATCAAGGAGTGAACACATCTGCCCTATGGTGACCGATTTCACCCATACCATCAAGAGTCTAAAACCACTGATTATCATCAAATGGACCCTAGTCAGGCACTACACATCTCTCCATACGACTCAGGCCAACAGCAAGAGGATACATGGACTGGTGCCACTTCCTGGTTTCGTCACCTTGAAACCGTGGACAACCTATTCCAGCTTCCCCTGGTATAGTACGTCGAGGTAGGTGGTGGCTCAGCATCAGCAGTGCATGTTCAAGCCATCTCAACCGATGAACGTTCACAAACTCATCAACCAGCTTGCGTAGTACACTTCGTCTGACTTCAACAATCTTCACATGGTCATCCAACCAAACCTGAACAATCCTGTGAAGACACCAACGATCAATGCCCTAAAACTACTCCTAATCTTACACTTTCAACAGCCACGACCAACAGTCCAATAACAGGGCACAACAGACAGCAGCACAGCATACTCGTTCTTTGACGGACAGTCGGATCTCCGGCCGTTCGGCAACACAATTCATGCAGTGAATAGTGACCACCTGTCGTAATTTTCTAGTGACAATCACTGGTTTCTGGTAAGCATTAAACTTCAAGCGTAAGGAGATACACTGTCACGTGTCGTCCGCCAACATCAAACCAACGATAGACACCGATTGTATAAGCCATCTCTTATCGCAGTAGTAGTTAGTGGCCAGCAGTAGGATCCAAGACGCGTGTTTCGGACTCGTCAACTGGACGTGCTTGACTACGAGTGCTGTTCCCAAGACTCTAACCCAGAGGTGATCGTTTCAAACCCTAGAGCGTTATCCGCTAGGCCACTCAGTCACGATAACCGCCTCCTGTGCGACAGATGTATTTCATTAAACCGAATTGATCGGCCCCTCTTAGCATATGGGCTCCTGCATGCATGCCTCGACGTTGCATATCGTTTAGTTTTTTATACTACTCATGAGATAATATGGACAACAACATAAAACCTATGCTTGTCGAAAAAGAGGTGCCTATAGTAACTCGGTGCACCAGTGGATAATGCTCTCGTGTTTCAAGAGATCGGTCCCGCTTAACAACCTTAGGAACAACACTAGGAGGCAAGTACATCCAGCTGATGAGTCCCGAGTATGACCGAAGCGTGTCCTGGATTCCAGTGTGGAGCTGTGACTTGGCGATCTACGTAGATGATATCAACCAGTGGGTCATGAGTTCAAACCCCGCTCCACATACAAAGGTTTCGACAGTCAGATGGTAGTAGCACTATCACAAAATAAGTATGACTCACTGCCTACTGCACAGAAGTGCACAAAGCGTATTGATGCATTTCGTTATTTTCCCATTCCTGGATTCCACTACTAGTTACTAACTCTCTTTACAATAAAAAGTGAAACGACGGCCAATGTCGAGGCATCCTCACTGGAGCTCATATGCCGATAGGAACCGATTAATTCAGTCCAATCAACGACGGGATAGTGCAAACCACTACAACGCATATAAGCCGTTGTTGGGGGGGATCAGTAGAGGATTGCCGTTCTTTACAGAGTAATTATGTTGACTTCAGTCACGTGTTTGTCTGCGCCTTACTAACAGCAGAAACCAAGCGGTAGGGAAAATGTGCGTGCTCGATTAGAAAATGAGAACACCAAGTACTCATGCGAGGAGGACTGAGAAAGTATGTGACACTAAACAAAGCTCTCTACCCAAACTCAAGCATCTGTTTAAAAGCGCATGAGGAGTTTTCATCTCAAGTAACGACAAACAACAATATTTACTGCTACCATTCCTATTGAACTCTTTTACAGACATCCTACTAAAGATGACCGTAGGTTCCCTCAACTTTCCATGTACTAACTAACTCTCAAGGAGAGTCCTAGTCAACTTGGAGTATTTCCTGTTAGGTGAAGACGCTTAAAAATGCATAGTTTGCTGACCGCCTTGAACAGGAACTTTTAGCACGGATATTATGCGTGGTATATGATGCTTCGAGACTGGTTTGAGGTGACTTCTAGTTACAGAATAGAGAGTGAAATGTGGGTTGCAGTAACCCGAATGCGTTAGTTGTAGACGAAATCTCACCTCGAATACAAAAATCCTGTTTGATATTTGCTAACTTACGTCATCTCTGGCACCGACAAGATACACAACCATTTATTAAAGGATGAATATACTGAGCTGCAGACCACTCTGTCTCTTTAGACGACTATGAGACAGCCATTGGAAGTAGATGTGAAGAGATTACAGGTTTCTAACCAAAGATGTTTTCGTGACAGTGTTCACGTGTGGTGGAATCACAGTGTAAACAATATTGAAGTCAGGTGAATGGCACTAGGCAAGAAAGGCAAGTCATTTGATGAAGTTATGAACCATCATCGAGTGAGATAGTTTGAACACGTGTTGCGCCTACTGAGCCACCAATTACCTTAACGTGTGAAGTTATCTGAAGTGGGATTCTGTTGGAAGGAGGTTAAAGATGGTCAGACTAAGACTTGGCACCGACCCATGAAGTCTTTGGTTGTTGGTTTAAGCCGTGTACGGAGGTGTAGACTGCCTAGATGAGATTCTGCAGAGGATAGGAATCAATGGTTGGAGATTCTCAGTGACGTGGTTGAAAATCAGTTACACTGGCGCAGACGTATTCACTCTTAGACACCTTCAAACAGTTTGACTAACCTGCACTTTTTCTCTCCTCTCTCCTCCCATAAGCTTTTCTTACTTAAATATGACTCTTTTTCTATCCATTTGTTATTTGCGTGTTTCTGTATAGTGTGACAACTTGAATGGATGCAGTTGTGACAGATTCTACATTGATCTGTCTGTCAGAGAGTCCTCTGAGATGCTTTTTCCGACATGCATTTGTTCGGATGGAGTGTCTGAGAGCCGATGGCCCTTTCTTTCTTGAATGGATGCACTTGTTATAGGTTTTACATCGATTTTAATCAGTGTTTAGGGCCTCGTATAATACAATGCACTCTCAGTCAAATGTCACCGAAACACATAGCGATCAACGGAGCTAACTGCCATTATCAGGTCACGAAACTTGAAAGATATCGGGCATTGACGATTATATGTTTCCGAAATCCCTTTTCATTTTCCATGACATATGTCTCAGTTTACATGCTAGACGTTCCACAAATCACATTAATCGTACAGAATTCGAAAATAATACAGAAGCACCCTACCAAAACCTATAACTTCTTAAACCAGACCTAAGCAGTGTACGAAGTTGCTTTCATTAAGGCAGGTGTTAGTCAGCTTTTGAAATGAATTCTGATATGCTAAAATGAAGTGTAACAGTTTGAGTAGACAAGCAGCTGTAAAACGTCTTTTGTGGTCTATTTGTCTATGCAAGTTCATCCAAACAGATTAAAACAAAAGTAGTTTTTTTCAGTCTAGCTTTAGAGGTGTGAATAAAAAACTAGACGTTCAGTAACCATATGCGTGCAAGTGAGAAGAGTAGCATAACCTTTCGTGGCAGACTTTAGAAGTCTAAAACTGATTGCTTCTCCTACTACTGTAATGTGCAGTATAAGTCAGCAACCATGTGCAAGTTCGTGCACAAAGTAATAAGCCACACCTATTGTATGGTGATTCATGGTGCTACCTGACTGCCTTAAACATCAGTAGGTCGAGCGGTGTTCAAACTAATGACTCACTGGTTGAAAGTTAACTGTCTGCCCCAATAAGTCAGAGGTCCCGTTAGAAAAATACTTCACATGAACACTTAAGAGTAAATTACACAAACATTAACTTCACCTAAATTTTCCTGGCGCAAATAACAACCGAACTGATTTTTAGTAATGACATAAGAGGGATTGCTACTTCATCATACCATCATCATCGCACTACTTTTTAACATAGTTTGAAGAATATGAACCTTAATCCTAACCAACAGCCCTGAGGTTTTAAGGGATAAACTCAAACGCCAAACACAAGAAGAAATATTTAAGTATGAGAATTATGTGCAAGAAGGGAGTAAATAAGCTTTGTTTGTCTTGACCGAGACGACCAAACAAACGACTATAGAAGACTTACCACTAGTTCGGATCTTTTTCGACGTGGGAACATTCTCTCCATAAGATAGAAATCAGTTCCAATAGTACTCAAAGCTCTATAGAACCGAGTAGTCTCCCGTTCTGTCCATTTTCTTCCATGGTTGTTACGAGGAGGTCGGAAGCTGTTATAAGTGACATTCAGTATACCTGTTTCTTCGTTAACATAACGCAAAGTTTTAATGTCAACACTTTCTTTCTTTTGAACCACCAAACTACTTTCATCCAAAACTATATTCCCATTAGCATCAATCCGTAATTGAGGGGCTAATAGGTCCAAACAACCTTCAGTGGGTGAATTTTTTGGAGAATTTTCTTTTGTCTCAAGGTCCACGGAATTGTCTTCAGGTAATTTGATGTCTGAATCACTCGCCTCTAAATCTCCATTGACTGAACAAGTGGTGGAGTTAAGACGATCTTGTCGATAACTTCATTACTAGTAGAATGTATTATGAGTACTTACGTTGGAGGTGGTTTATTGATAGGGATCCAATGTAATAACGAACGAAGAGTAACCGAAGACCGATCAAGAGGCTGATCCACAGGTGGCATTACTTCCGTTGTTTTCGTTTTAACCTTTCGAGACTGTAGATGTATATTCGACATGTATTCTGATACTGGAGACATACCTTTTTAGATACAAACAAGTTTACTATTTCTCCAGATGGTTTAGATTTATCAGCAGTGACGCGTACACAAGAATCAAGATCAGTTGACCTAAAAATATCTCAGTGAAATTTAGAAAATACCTTTGAACATCTGCTTCAGGGTTCTTGAGAACATCTTTTGAAGGCGGATCAGGGCTGAGAGAAAAAGATTATATTTCATTTTATTACCTGGCTACTGGCTCAGTTGTAATGACGCAAGGTGGAGTTTCTTTAACTGAGTGCGAATCAGGCATCTGATTACTTCCATCTTCTTGGACTTCCTGTTCATTTCTACACATAGAAGCCATGTAATCAAAAAGCACTTACGCTTTTACTTGAGGTTTAATTTGCTTTATTGTGGGTCGGAAAACTTTCGGCATATTCGTGATGGTAAGTAGTAGTAGGTAATGAAAAGCGGTTACTCTAGAAACAAATAAAGCACATAAGAAGTAGAAATGCAGCCAATTTAACAAGTTCAAAGAAAATAAAACGTCAAATGAACTCAGGCACGTCTACGGCGTTAATATATTGGACAGAGGAGAATCGAAATTTGAGTAATAATAGTGAAATATTTTTCAAATACCTACTTGGACCGTAACTAACAGTAGTTTCAAGAACATGCACGTGAACGTCTGAATGAAAGTAAGAAAACTACAACCCAGATTATTGCAAGCTCAGATAGATGATGATAAGGTTTCTATTTGAATTATAGGACACTCGTAACAATAATCACGACACTTCTAATTAACTCATTTTGACAAAATCATTTAAAGTGTTCTGCATAGACAGTAACACAGGTTACAATAAACTGCATGGAAGTGAAGAAGAGTAACCGGTTCTCAGACACTCCATCCGAACAAATGCATGTCGGAAAAAGCATCTCAGAGGACTCTCTGACAGACAGATCAATGTAGAATCTGTCACAACTGCATCCATTCAAGTTGTCACACTATACAGAAACACGCAAATAACAAATGGATAGAAAAAGAGTCATATTTAAGTAAGAAAAGCTTATGGGAGGAGAGAGGAGAGAAAAAGTGCAGGTTAGTCAAACTGTTTGAAGGTGTCTAAGAGTGAATACGTCTGCGCCAGTGTAACTGATTTTCAACCACGTCACTGAGAATCTCCAACCATTGATTCCTATCCTCTGCAGAATCTCATCTAGGCAGTCTACACCTCCGTACACGGCTTAAACCAACAACCAAAGACTTCATGGGTCGGTGCCAAGTCTTAGTCTGACCATCTTTAACCTCCTTCCAACAGAATCCCACTTCAGATAACTTCACACGTTAAGGTAATTGGTGGCTCAGTAGGCGCAACACGTGTTCAAACTATCTCACTCGATGATGGTTCATAACTTCATCAAATGACTTGCCTTTCTTGCCTAGTGCCATTCACCTGACTTCAATATTGTTTACACTGTGATTCCACCACACGTGAACACTGTCACGAAAACACCTTTGGTTAGAAACCTGTAATCTCTTCACATCTACTTCCAATGGCTGTCTCATAGTCGTCTAAAGAGACAGAGTGGTCTGCAGCTCAGTATATTCATCCTTTAATAAATGGTTGTGTATCTTGTCGGTGCCAGAGATGACGTAAGTTAGCAAATATCAAACAGGATTTTTGTATTCGAGGTGAGATTTCGTCTACAACTAACGCATTCGGGTTACTGCAACCCACATTTCACTCTCTATTCTGTAACTAGAAGTCACCTCAAACCAGTCTCGAAGCATCATATACCACGCATAATATCCGTGCTAAAAGTTCCTGTTCAAGGCGGTCAGCAAACTATGCATTTTTAAGCGTCTTCACCTAACAGGAAATACTCCAAGTTGACTAGGACTCTCCTTGAGAGTTAGTTAGTACATGGAAAGTTGAGGGAACCTACGGTCATCTTTAGTAGGATGTCTGTAAAAGAGTTCAATAGGAATGGTAGCAGTAAATATTGTTGTTTGTCGTTACTTGAGATGAAAACTCCTCATGCGCTTTTAAACAGATGCTTGAGTTTGGGTAGAGAGCTTTGTTTAGTGTCACATACTTTCTCAGTCCTCCTCGCATGAGTACTTGGTGTTCTCATTTTCTAATCGAGCACGCACATTTTCCCTACCGCTTGGTTTCTGCTGTTAGTAAGGCGCAGACAAACACGTGACTGAAGTCAACATAATTACTCTGTAAAGAACGGCAATCCTCTACTGATCCCCCCCAACAACGGCTTATATGCGTTGTAGTGGTTTGCACTATCCCGTCGTTGATTGGACTGAATTAATCGGTTCCTATCGGCATATGAGCTCCAGTGAGGATGCCTCGACATTGGCCGTCGTTTCACTTTTTATTGTAAAGAGAGTTAGTAACTAGTAGTGGAATCCAGGAATGGGAAAATAACGAAATGCATCAATACGCTTTGTGCACTTCTGTGCAGTAGGCAGTGAGTCATACTTATTTTGTGATAGTGCTACTACCATCTGACTGTCGAAACCTTTGTATGTGGAGCGGGGTTTGAACTCATGACCCACTGGTTGATATCATCTACGTAGATCGCCAAGTCACAGCTCCACACTGGAATCCAGGACACGCTTCGGTCATACTCGGGACTCATCAGCTGGATGTACTTGCCTCCTAGTGTTGTTCCTAAGGTTGTTAAGCGGGACCGATCTCTTGAAACACGAGAGCATTATCCACTGGTGCACCGAGTTACTATAGGCACCTCTTTTTCGACAAGCATAGGTTTTATGTTGTTGTCCATATTATCTCATGAGTAGTATAAAAAACTAAACGATATGCAACGTCGAGGCATGCATGCAGGAGCCCATATGCTAAGAGGGGCCGATCAATTCGGTTTAATGAAATACATCTGTCGCACAGGAGGCGGTTATCGTGACTGAGTGGCCTAGCGGATAACGCTCTAGGGTTTGAAACGATCACCTCTGGGTTAGAGTCTTGGGAACAGCACTCGTAGTCAAGCACGTCCAGTTGACGAGTCCGAAACACGCGTCTTGGATCCTACTGCTGGCCACTAACTACTACTGCGATAAGAGATGGCTTATACAATCGGTGTCTATCGTTGGTTTGATGTTGGCGGACGACACGTGACAGTGTATCTCCTTACGCTTGAAGTTTAATGCTTACCAGAAACCAGTGATTGTCACGAGAAGATTACAAGAGGGAATCACCGGTGTCGGTGCGTTGGTACTGAATTATGGAGATACTTTTAAGATGTCCTTACGACTGGCTCAGCTTTTCCACTTGGGCCTTAAATTTGCTCGATAAAATAAGTATGTCTGAGCGGTCTGCTTGCTGTAGCAAAATTAACAGCTTTTAATAAAATTCGTCCTTTGTTTCATTTGAACTGCAGTTGTTGAACACGTATTCTCATGATGCTTTTTAGTTTTCACAGATCCACTAAGTTGGACAGCGCACAGATAGCTGTTGACTGGAATCCAGGGAGAATGGATTTCCAATCCACTAACAGACTGAGAAATCAACATAGAACATTGTTCACAGGTGAATCGGCTCAAGTTGGCACACACACAAAGAACAAATGGATCACAAAAGAGCAAAGTCAAAGTATATAAAGTTGTGTGGGAGAATAAACAACAACAAACAAACGAGAATAAATCATCAGCGAGTTCATGGGAGCTAGGCACTGAGTATCCAGATACTCGTTAAGTGAATTTTGAATATTTGTTACAATAGGCAGATGAAGTCAAGTTAATAACCACGCTCGGGACTTATCTACGTGTTTCAGAGAAACAGCAAACATTCATGACTCGGAATCCCAGAGTTCTGGTGAGCGATGCTTGGTGTCCGATATGGCATGAGGTTCGGGCGTGGAAAGCTGAAATACGAAGTCGACAAGGTGTCGTAGGGAATTACGATTGGGGTTTCGATGGCTTAGAACGTTGGCGATAGTTGCAGTGGGAGGATGATGAAGTTGTAAGAGGCGTAATGTTGGCATCAGAAAGTGAAGGTGAAGGAAGAGACAAAGGTAGGGAAGGTAGGTAATAGTTAGCTGGGTTTTCTATGCCACTTTAAGCATGTGAGTGGTTAGTACTTCCAGGCTGACCATACCATGGGAGCTGTTCCTGTCAATTATTCAGTATCAGGAATGAATGCCAGCACAAGACGCTACTAATCCTGTAGATGGTGCAAAGGATGTATTATATTTGTAGACATTAATCACCTACCTATTAGGCAGCTGAAGTAGTCTATATCATTTCACTGCGGTACTGAACCAATCACAAACTCAAGGTGGAAAAGTTCATCAAGTGATCAAACTCCAATCCAAATATTGTGCTATGGCTGGAGGTAAAGCAGACACAGAAACTAAGTGTTTCCCTAGGAAATTAATCGAAAAAAGCAACATCATCTGAATATTCGAATATAATTACATGATATCTGACTTCCGAAATGAACAGCAGGGATATATCAGGACATATGTTGGTCAACAAACGAACAGTCTTGGGAAAAAAAGGGCGGGGTGTTAGCCATGGTGTGAAGATAGTTCTAAAAGTCAAACTTAAATGCACCAACAGTAGGATGTTTTTCAGGACTGATAAGTTTTCAGCACTCTAATACGACGACTGCTTTACTAAGAATGCTCTAGATAAGAAAGCTTAAAGAAAATACTGAGATCGAGGAACTGAAGTTAATTTGAGGAAACAGAGATGGGGAGCTTAGCATAACTTAATAAATCTTAACTTATCTCAAACTAGTTCATACAGGTAGCCCTGGATACTACTTACTAGCGAAGACTTAAAATTAATGACTCCTGTTTTCAATACTGAAATATGTCTTCACGTAATCTGCATGTGCTTTTATGCAGTTAAGTTACGCTTTATGAAAACCAAAGTCAAAAGTTCGCATAGTTTCCTTACAGTTGTTAAGTAGCAGATGTACACGATGGGTGAAGATACTACTGTCATGTACTTCGGATTGCAATTTAGAGGTCTCCTCCACCGAACAGTATAGCTACGATTACTAGCTGGAATTCAGTTAGGAAGGACGCTGTGTGACGAGCAACTTAGTGCTGTGCTTCCTTCTATAAATCCATGGACCTCAGCTTTGCATTTTGTATGGTGAATCTTACCAATTCACCAGAATAACCAAATCAGGTCAGGAGGGTTTCGGATGTTAGCATCAAAAACACAAAATATACCAACGACAAGATAAGTCATGATTTTGAAAACTGAGCTTTGTCATGCAACTTGACGAAACGTTCGGAAGCCGAAAGTTCGAAAGTAGGGTCGGTAGTTGTAGGTAACTAGGAGTTGATTTCCGTTTGATCGAATGGCAAAGTGAGGTAGTTGAAAAAGATAGTGAAGATGAGGCAACTTCGTAACCGGAAAGACTGTTAAATGTAAAAGCATTCAGACGGTTAGTACTTTTATGTGGGATACTGTGTTATTTGGTGCCTTACTGTATTGCCCGAAATAGGCAGAAAGTCACATGGTAATGCGGAATACATTTATTATGAACAGTGCTGTTCAGCTACAGGGCCTCAAGAAACAAGCTTTCTCGCCAAGTTTTTGCCTCAGTTCTCACCAATCACAGCTGCCACATCAACGTTCCAGAGTAGTCAGGCAACTAGATACTACTTTTTCTTAAATACTGGACGCATATGCGTCCAGTATTTCGAACGAACTTATGTGACGTAAGGAATGTACGGTACAAACAGCTTGACTGTCTTCTGAAATCCTAAATAGAACACTTCTTTCCAACACATGCCATTTAAAGCAATATTTATCTTGCATTCGTGATTAAGGATCCATGTGGTTCAAGATGGATCAGAAGCTTTCGTTCAACTGGCTTTATCATCCTCTTAGTTTGCCCCTTAGGAGATACGTTGCTTAGACAAGAATTTCAGTCTTTTAGTTGGAACAGTGTTTTCATCAGCTCTCCATTAAATTAATTCTAAACTAAGAATACACCTTTAGTGCGTGAACACTGTAAAGCCTCAGTGATGAGTTCTTTTTCAGCACACCACTGAAAAAGTTGACAACATACGGACTCACTTTACTACACTGGTACACAATTGAAAGTTTTGCTACGTTATCTGTGCATCTAAAAACGGATATATCCTCAGGAATCAGCAGCTGAGAAGGTCATAAGCGTAACACAACTTTCAATACGATTCGCTGGACGTAATTCTGACCTTCAATATCCAATATCCAACTTTACGTGAGTGAAACAAAGCGTTAACTTTCCTTGTTCTGCTCAGTCAATGCGATTTTTCCCTCAAAAAACCGAATGTGCTAGTTCATAATCTTGTTTACTATTAGGCTTAGTTCTCGTGCTTTATGGACGTATCTGTATAACATTCGACATTAGGAAAATAGCATCAAACTGTCCTTTGGGTCGAATGTTGTAAGAGAAAATCTGGTGGCGGGATTCAGATGACGAATATGAAAGGTATGTGAATTTCTCAGTTAATGCAGTTATCATTAAATACTGAAAGAAACTAAGAGTTTGTAAACGATTCGTGATTGTCTCATGAAAGGAGACGAAATAGTGGCGTAGATCCAGCATACAAGAACAACTATGCTCTTTTTTCTTGCCATGTTGGTCAACGAAGGAAGTCAGCAGGCAGTGAAAATTTTAATAAGCACTACAAAAATAAAAACCAGTTCACATACATCATGATCTTAGTTCTCGGGTTCCTTCTTCGCCTTTCAAACTAAACTGAACTTCGGTGGCTATAGCGTCACATACTCCTCCAGAATAAGTAGCCTAGGGTTCAACAAGATTCAGCATTGTTAATGACACTCGTATTTTTATGGAACTAGTTAAGCTGAAGGCACACAGTCAAGCATCCATGCTATTTGGTGCGTTGTCGCGTTACGTTGCACTGCTCTTAATCAATCCTCCAGCCGGCTGGTCGGTGTGCGTCGGTATTTTGGCACGGCCTCACAAATATACCACTCCGTCTGACTACCCTACTGTGTCCTTCCTTGGTCTCGTATTGGTGGGTATAAAGCAAGTGCGAATAATTAGTGATTGGGCCCAGGGTCTGTCAAGTTCGTACAAAAGAAGTTCCTACACGTCTATAAAGTCTTGCAGCCCGTCAGCACCAAACAAAACAACGAGTTGTCAGGCTTGCAGTCCGTACAACCAGGGATTCGAGGACTCAGTAGTGAGCAACAGGGAAGGAATCTACCGTTAATCGAACGGAATACACAATCAGGTCAAATAATTAATTATTAGTGTAAGCTTGTGTGCCGGGAAATTGCATACGCTCATGACCATAATGAATATGAGCAATGCTGCGTAACAATTTCTTAGGTGTAAGCAACTCAGGCGTACCATAGGGCTGGAATATGGAAAAGCTTTGGCGTATATCGACGGCAATATCTGAGACATTTAGCAGGTGTGGGCAGTGCGCACCATGAAGGACGTTATTGCTCTTGTTAATAAAAGCAACCAGCATAATTGAGTGTTTCCTTGTATACCTGAATAAACACCTGCATAATGATCTCTGTTAAAGTTAGGCATTCGGGAAGTTTGGAAATGCTCCATTAAACCATATCACTGGAAGGCCGGTGAAGGAAATCGTAATTTTTACTACTAAATGCGTTTGAATAAATAAGTGTTCTATTCTCACGTCAAAATAAAGTTTAACATGAGAGAAGCCAGTTTACCGGCTTCATCACGTTGATACATCTCAAAATATCTACAAGACTTGAGCCCTCAGTGGTACTGACGGAATATCATTAAACTCAATTAAACGCTGCCGAAGGTCCTGTTAGTTACGAAACGAACAAGGAAATATTACTTTACAGCATGCATGGAGTGTTAAGTGTTAGATAACAATAAATATTGTCTTCATTTAAAGGGGTTTTACATGAGGGATACCGGTTTACAAGCACCGTCAAATTCATAATTTTGAAATTTTACGAACTGGTATCTAGTATTAAATAATTCGCACATCAAGTCATTAGTTTGCATAATCTTACTAAAATTTGCTGGAATCCACGAGACGGACGTGGATTTTCACCCGTTATTTCACAGACAGGTTCCACTATCAATATCAAAAGCGCGCAGTGTTCAAAGTTTGCGTTATAACCATCCGACGCTGTAAGTCCATTCCCTTTATTTTGCTAGTTAGTAATATTAAAATAACAGTTCATCGCTTAGAATGACCTTCAGTTTTTGGCTTTGCCGACCACAACGGACCCATTTATACAATCTGAAGTATTAACAAAGTATCTAAAGCTAAATAACCAGCGTGTGTGGCTATATCAATGCATTTCCAGGTCACCATGTTAAGTTTAAAGACAATATAGATTAATTCTGCTGGGCATACTTGTTATACTGGATGAAAATAGATGTTGAGACAGTCAAAAATCCAAGTGGTAGTATTTATACATAGACTTCGGGCATCTTTTGTATTAGCAAAGGCGGCATCATTCGAGAAGTGTATTTGATGCATGGTAAGTTTCATATGAAAAGGTCTCTTGGTACAGACTACAAGAAAATGTGTAGCGCGGAGCCATTGCAGGTAAGTGACGTCCTTAGCCAATATGTCAATTGGTCTCTGGTTTAACCATCTGTTCCGAATTTCTCTGCCACTGATACTGTTGGGAATGGTCAGACGGTTCGTCGCAAGAAGAATCATTAGGTGCATTGTTCTGGTTTCTACATTTACAGATGGATGACATCACGTCTTATATGCCGCATTCTCAAATGAATCTAGCAACATATTGTGTGTACGTGTGTGCTAACACGTGGTTCAATCTACAGAGGCCTACGTAGTCTTTCAAGAAGCACACAAGTACTTCGCCGTCAACGAATATGACTGCAAGTACTCATTTACACTAGCACAGCTATGCTCATGCTCTGTCTTCATTTACTTCATGTGCATAGGTTTCTGTCCCGTGACTTCAGTAGGCCCCCTGAGGTGTTAAAATAATCCTTAGGGGAGCAGTGTAACGGAAAATTGATCTGAAAATCCCTCTTAATCAGCCTATTTCATTGTACTGACGCTTATTCTAATATTTTCACCTTGGTTATGGATGGTATGCCTTAGACCCCAGCCAATGTAATGTTATTTGGTTGTTTGATTGTCTTCTTTGACTTCGTATCCAGTATTTGCCTTTGTGTGATTGAGACTTACCATGAGTGTTTCACTTTCCTATTATGTGACGCTGGACTGTTGACAGCGTGACGTTGTTTTACTGACATTTTGTTTCGGTTCAACTTACGGCTGTGCAGTGATTTGACTGTTTGTCTTTTGACTGTCTACTGAAAACGTTTATTTGTTGATTTGATCCTGGTAGACAGAGTTTTGATCCCTTTCGTCGGGAATATTCTTATTGACTGTCGGGTGCTCAACAGTTGTATTTGTCTAACTGGTTTTTACCGTGTAGTACGTATTTGCACTGGAGAACGTTTTGGACTGTATAGTTACCCAATGGCACTGTTGAGGTATTTTTGTAATTTTGATATAACTTATTGTTGCTTTGATAGTGCCACGGATTTTGTTACGAATCTACTACTGAATTACTAGAAACCATGTTTTGATATTTTGATCCAACCTTTGACTGTGCGTCACTCGCGGAAGTTAGGAAGCTATACAGTAGAACGCAGGAACTAGTCAGATTCACGTCAGTTGGCACCGCCTAGTTATTTCCCGCGTTCAGGCCAAGATCATTGGATTTCGGCCGCTACAAGCAGTCCTGATGGTCTTCAAGATGGTTACGAGGCACCAAACACACACCAATTAAACGTAACCAGAGGGTTGTATACATTTAAGAAATACGAATGATTCCTTGGGAAATGACGTATGAAATGCAGCTATTGGCTAGGTAAAACTCGCAAAGAACACATAAACTGTTGTTTTTGAGATGTTCACCGAGGTTTATGAGGAGTGCCACCTACAGAATTAAAATTCAGAAACCTCACGAGCTGTTGAATACCTGCCAACCAGTCACGTACATTTTGTTTCGTTACCCGAATAAGTTTTTCCACATTTTGTCACATATTCCTTCGCTGTTTACCCCTGAAGCCGAAGGCAGGATTGGCTACGGTGATAGCTGTTGAAATGGAGGGATTCGTGCTGCTGTATAACCAACGGATCTTGACATCTGACTAACAACCAGTCAGTTGTACTTTCCAGATACGCTTCGTCCACTGAAGTCTGATCAGTCAAGTAGTGTCACCAGCCTTCACAGCAGCTGGGCTTACCAAACTGAGTGACTACAGCATCTCTTCTGATGTCGGTGGTAAAAGTCGATAAGTAAGGAGATGAATGAAGTTGATCGTCACTTCTTGGGAACTGCCTATTGCGTAGAAGTCCTTGATATTGCTTCGGTTGCACAACATCCGTCCCAACGCGTAACTATTTTTACTACTTATTTTCCTTAATGACATATGGACCTTTGTCGCACTTCCCCTGAACCTAAGCTGAAACCTAGACGTGGACGTGTATATAGATGGTTATATTCTGTATCGCGCTAATTATGACCATAAGCGTGGTGGAGGCTGTTTGATCTATGTATGTAGCCTTGCTACCACAAATAAGATTGAAGATGATATCTTCAATGATCTGCCGGACCCACTTTGGACCATTATAAACGGTACCAACTACAAAATACTCATAGGCTGTGTGTATAGAGCACCATGTTCAACAAAAGGAAATGATGGACTGAGGTCAGATCATTTGCCCACCCTGGATCCCTCACTGTTGACTTCGAACTGATTGCAGGTGACTTTAACTTACCTGAAGTTAACTGGGAGGTCGGTCGCGGCCCACAATGATTTGATGAAATGCTTGCTGCCACAGATATCTATGGCTGGAAGCAATGCATTCAGTAACCCAGGCGTGGAGATAGTAAACTGGACCTAGTCTTTTGCTGTGACATCATCCCTGTCACTACCCACGTTAGTAGCGAATTTTCTAGCAATGACCATGGGATAGTATTATGTTGCTTACCAATTCTTCCTCCCGATGAGAAAAACAAGCAATCTTCAAATTATACTTGGCATAGAAGCTATGAGAATATAGAGTGGGAAGTACTCATCGAGC